AACAGTTATTAGCTAATAGTTCACCTTGCATTTGTTTATGTTGATAAACAATAATATAAGATGTTTTGTTTTAGGAATAACTACTACATTTGCTTTCTTTTGAATCATTTATATTCTTGATTTTTTCCCATAAATGTGGGAGGAAATTAATATTTCATTTGTTTGGTTTTTCTTTCAAACATATATAGTACTTTGATTTAATGGCGAATACTTTAATCATTGCCAAGCACTGTACATTCCATTTTAAAATACCGAATATTCCCAATACAAGTATTGTAATTCATAGTTCAAAACGACATACTCATTCGAGGTAATGATGTTTTACCGATGTTCAAATCTAATAAATCCATTCAGAAGATACAAATTAATTACCCCCCCCCCCCCCCCACCTTTCGCCAAGAGCGCATGGTGTGTCCTTATCGGCATATTGAGCATAAAATGGGATATGTCGAAGACATTTAATCATAAGCAAATAAATTAAACCGTTTGTAATGTTTACCTATAGCAACAATTTTGTGAAGTTTCCACTAAATCAATGCAAGTAAACTATAGTGTGAAAATTTAACTTATATTTGACAAACCCGCAAATAAAAAAGAAAAATAAATAAAAAGGGAGTTTCCTTTCATCAATCCCCACAATAATGTTTGGAGGAAATATATCCAAAAATACTAGAGTAAATGCACCATTTGTGAAAAATTGCCTAAAATGTAATAGTTAAAGTTCCGTAACTCTGGATCGACAAATCCAACATTTAAAAAAATCGAAAGGGAGCTTTCTTGTCGTCAGTTCTAATGTTGATCGAATCGGTGTATGCGTGTCTAAATTCACAATTCGACATGTTTTCGCGGTCTTAGATTTTTAATTACCCTAGCAGGAGACGATTATCCTTTTGACGTACACGGTTCCACTCCTTTTGTTGTTCAAGCGATTCCTTCTGAAATTGGGTGGTTGTCGTTTGTTGCTGTTTCTCGTTTTTGTTTTTTTTGTTGTTGTTTTGTTTACTGTTTTGTATAATTTGCTGTTGTGTTGTGCCGTTACACCGCTGTCTCACGTTAGAGGGAGGGTTCGCCCTTTCAAACATATTTTACCCCGCCACATTCTTTATTATTTGTCAAAAGTCAGGAGCTTGTAGTTTAGTGGTTGTCGTCAGTTCGAATTCATGTCTGTCATATTTGTTTTTTCGTAAATGGATTTGTTATAAACCAGGATGTAAGTTTTCTCAAATGAAATGTTTATTTTGTTTTGGTTTTTTTCTTATTGTTGAAGGCTGTGCGGTTGATTCAATTGCTTACACCCGCTTCATTTTAATTTTGGGGGATAGTTGTTTCATTGGCAATCATACCACATCTCATTATTTTACATTTGTTATCTTGTATACAATGGTCCATCAAGTCTTCACAGAGCTAAGAATTTTTTTATTTTTTTTTTAAAGATATGAATCCTACTTTGAAAACTTTTTAAAAACACCAATTAAATATTTCAGACCAGAATAGACTTTAACAAAACATATATAATCGTTAGTTTAGTTATGCCACATTTATGTTTAACTTTTATTGTAACCTCTAGAAAAAAAGAAGAATGTTAATCAAACAGGATGACATGCACAGCTATTGCAAATATGAGAAAATTACAGACTTTACTTTGGTCATTTTAGAATTTCTATCACCTTTATGATGTGTGACCAATCATCAGATAACATAGAACACAAAGAAATATTGTTCTGCTTACATTACCAAAAAGCCATCTAACAAGCGGAATTATATTTAACAATTTAATAAGTACACAAATTTAAAGATATGGCTTTTATGTTTTCATTCAACCCATGTAGCTATACAAGACTATTCATTTTGCCTCGCAGACTTCCGAACAGCTGATGCAAACGAAAAGCTGGCGTCAAAAATCTTTATATATGTGAGTAGCACGCTCTGACTTGACACTTATCCAAGAACTGAATCTTGTTTTTCTTAAATTCGTTGACTAAACTTTTTGCAGATTGATTAAAGGAAGATAACTCAAATTCAAACTGCGAAGGTAACTTTACAATGTTAAGCAATCTATCCTTTATAAGTGCAGATTATCTTCGATTTAGCCAGATACGATAACCTGACCTTTTGTCCGTAACTTATTACACAAAGCAACGATTCATTTTCTTAACTTGCAGTGCAGCAGCGCAGCAGTGAATCACTCCTGACACCCTTAATGCATTGAATCGTTAAGCTGACAGTAACCAATTCGATGATTTAAAAATATTTATGCTGAATATAATGACAATCAAGGGTGCAATCAAAAACCATATGTCCTATAAAGAGCAACACCACAATGACCCGGTATAAAAACGACGTTAAGACCAACAGCAATTACACAATTCAACAATTAAAACTATAGATAGAGCAAAAAAAAAAAAAACAATAATAAGGATTGAACGCTATTTCCCCGGAAGGGTCAGCATTTGCTGCTCTTTCAGTGACACCACAATCTGCAAAGAAACAGCAGAATTCAAGAAAATGTCAGTTTCTAAGTACAGGGTGCTTAAACGGAAAATTTTAAATGAAATAAAGTTGCTTGTAAGTGTTGTAGAAGTGACATCATTCTATTTAAATAAAGAATTCACTTTTATTCCATTGCAATTAATTGGACGGAATTGTAATAAAGTTTGGAGATTATCAGACGCACTGTTACTTTAGGGTATTTACGAGTTCATTTGAATGAATAATAAATGAAATAACAAATAAATATTCACAAAAATGAATACTCCACTGTTTACAAATATATCATAAAATCCCCACTCTTTCCGCAAAGTATAAGAGTTTTTTGTATTTTGGTTGCAAACAAGGTAAACTAATTTTGATAAAAATAGACGAAGCGATTACAATATACTCCCAACTCTACTGGAAAATATTGTACACATTCCTTCAGATCTGCAATTTCGACTATTTGATTGTATGGTCTCTCCAAATTTACTTTATGGCTGGGAAATATGGGGTCATGAGAATGTTGACATAATTGAAAAGGTGAACTTAAGTTTCAGGAAGAGTGTCCTGAATGTAAGATCAACAACACCAAATTATAGGTCTATAATAGCTTTGTTTCATTGTTCCCTCAGTTTCCCCAACTGGCAGATTCTCGCTAATAATTAATATTGAAACTAAATTACTTTTCTTTTGGTCAAGATTAGTGCAAAGCGGTAGTAGCAAATTATCCGGGATTTTGTATCAGTTAATGTATAACTTGCATACTTCAGGCTAATACTCATTTAAATGGTTATCTTCTCTGATAAAATTGTGAAATGATGTAGGATTTTATTTTGTCTGGAATGCACAGGGTGTTATCAAAAGTTCGGATATTAAAAAAGAAATAAAACAGAGATTAGATGACCAATTCGGACAGCGTCTATTTGCTGATATGAGGAACTCTTCAAGAGGTGTGTTTTATGCGTCATACAAAACTTTTTTTGTTTAGAGCCTTATTTACTCAATCTTAAAGTGGCAGATCGTTATATCTACAGTAGATTTAGATGTTCAAATATCCACTTCCCTATTGAAGTTGGCCAGTGGAAAAATACACCAAAAGAGGATCGTATATGCCGTCACTGCGATTCAAATACAATTGGTGACAAATATCATTATTTTTGTACCAATGAACAAATTATGTCATTAAGAGAAAGGTATAAACCTACGTATACATATTACACAAAAAATCCTTCCCAATTGAAATTTATAGGTCTATTGTCACACTGTAATGTGCCAGTTCTAACAAAACTGTGCACGTTTTTAAGACATTTAGAAAAGATATTTCTACTGTATGATATCGCTAATGTATTTATGGTTTGTCTTGCTTGGAAATGTATAATTAAGTAATTGTTAATGTATAATGGTTATCCTCTTGTAGCACCATACGTGTGCCTAAGTTGTAATAAATTGTCTTGTCTTGTCTTGTAAACATGTTAAACAATAGATCTCCGTAGCTCTGTGGAATAAACAAAAACACAACAAAACGCACATTAAATCTCAATTCAAAAGAAGTCCGAGTCAAATGTTAGAATAGGGAACAGAAGAAACAAAGCTATTATGACATTCCTCTCATTCCCCATCAATTCAAACTAATTTCTTCCTTGCTATAGAATATGGCAGAGAGTCCAAATAAAACACCTCAAAAGAAAGAATACAAAGCCAATAAGAAAACGATAAGCTCCGATCTATTTATCGGCGTAGGTGACAGTGGCGTATGTACTTTAAAAAAAAGTTTGTTAAAATGTTAAGATTTGCTATACTTAATTAACACAAACAATTTTTCAATAAATGGCTAACAAGGCTTTGAACTTTACGATAATATTTGGCTTTTAATCATATGAATTTTTTTGTGCTCATTCTTTTGAAATCAAAGGTATTCCTTTTATTCTCATTGAATAAAGTGGTCTTTTCTTTTAAAAAACATCATTTACAGTATCTAGTTTACTGTATCTGATGACAATTTAGATAAATAATTTTGGAAGAACTGATAAAACAGTGAAAACATGTCCAGATAATGATGATGGATGGCTGCCTAACGTCCAGCGGTAAATTATTATGCATATTCAGGACGAGAACATGTTAATGTAACATGAATATATACCCTGCTTAATACTAGACCGACACGCTGAGCCGGATTTTTTACGTGCTAGTTCACAGGAAGGCATATCAGCTTACCCGGACACATATTTTTGACTCCGAGCCGACCAGTCTTTGCTCTTACTTTTTAATGTCGCGTGATTAACGGAAAAACAGCAAATACCAATTTTCTTTACTTGGACCCGGCCGGGTTCGAACCCACGACTCGAGGCGAACAGGCTACCACGAGACCACTGAGGCGGTAAAACGTAATCAGAAAAAAGATTCAGTGCTATGCACGAAGGATCGAGGTGCAACTCTGAATTCAAAATGATTTCTAAAATTGAAAAACAACTAATACTAATTCAATAATATCCTTATTTTCATGCGAGTACCAACATTGACACAATCAACTATACCCTTACCACACCGTCAACAAACATTGTAGTACTACCTGTTTGATAAACTGTTAATTTAGTTGTTTACTGAACATTTTCTTGAGTTATTTTCTGTACTTGTCTTAAGTAAAACGTGTGAGATTTTTTTTGACTGTTTGGTTATGATAAAGATGATCAGAAGCAATACATACATAGCTTTATAAATTAAATGTTACCCATGATCATCTGCATTTTTGCATGTACGCCCACTCATCATCATATATATTTCAATTTTCAAATGAAAGAGATTTCATCGACAGCAAATAACGACAGAAAAACAGTAAAGCATTAAGCAAAGTGTTTACTGCATTTAAACATATGAATTAACTAGGATTAATTACGTTTGACTGCAAGATACATTGATCACAAATATAATTCTATTAAATAAAAACAAAACAAAATGGAAGAAAACATCACTGAAATAAAAAAAAAAAAAAAAACAGATCGAAGTATTATATGACAATAATTATATGCAAATAAAAAGTTCCTTAAAAAGTGTAAGGCTAAACTTTTTAAATTCTGAATCAAATTTTAATCAGTTGTTCTTTCCATATTTACCACGTGGCCTTTTTGTCCTTCCATATTTACCACGTGGCTTTTTTTTCTTTTTATCTTTACCACGTGGCTTCTTAGCTCTATTGGTCCAATAAGGTTTTTCAGGATCACTTTTTGGTGAGAAAACACGTGTTGCTGTTGATTGGTAAACAGTTGCCATTGTCGGTTGGTAAATATATGTTTTCGTTGGTTGATAAGCAGTTGTCACAGTTGGTTGGAAAACAGTGGTCGTTGTTGGTTGGTAAATAGTTGTCGTTGTTGGTTGATAAAAAGTTGTGGTTGGTTGGCAAACAGTTGTTGTTGGTTGGAAAAAAATGTGTAGTAATTTGTTGGTAAACAGTTGTCGTTGTTGGTTGATAAACAATTGTCGTGGTTGGAAGGATTGTTATAGTAGTAGTGGTTGGTAGGAATGTAGTAGTCGTTGATGGTAAAACTGTAGTAGAAGTAGTTGTGGTTGGTAGGAATGTAATAGTGGTTGATGGTAACACTGTAGTAGAAGTAGTTGTGGTTGGTAGGAATGTAGTTGTCGTTGATGGTGAAACTGTAGTAGAAGTAGTCGTGGTTGGTAGTAATGTAGTAGTCGTTGATGGTAAAACTGTAGTAGAAGTAGTCGTGGTTGGTAGGAATGTAGTAGTCGTTGATGGTAAAACTGTAGTAGAAGTAGTCGTGGTTGGTAGGAATGTAGTAGTCGTTGATGGTAAAACTGTAGTAGAAGAAGACGTGGTTGGTAGGAAAGTAGTAGTCGTTGATGGTAAAGCTGTAGTAGAAGTCGTGGTTGGTAGGAATGTAGTAGTAGTTGATGGTAAAACTGTAGTAGATGTGGTCGTAGTTGGTAGGAATGTAGTAGTCGTTGATGGTAAAACTGTAGTAGATGTGGTCGTGGTTGGTAGGAATGTTGTAGTCGTTGATGGTAAAACTGTAGTAGTAGATGTCGTGGTTGGTAGGAATGTAGTAGTCGTTGGTGGTAAAACTGTAGAAGTAGTCGTGGTTGGTAGGACTGTAGTAGTCGTTGATGGTAGAACTATAGAAGAAGAAGTCCTGGTTGGTAGGAATGTATTAGTCGTTGATGGTAAAACTGTAGAAGAAGAAGTCGTGGTTGGTAGGTATGTAGTAGTCGTTGATGATAAAACTGTAGTAGAATACGTCGTGGTTGGGTCGAATGTAGTAGTCGTTGACGGTAAAACTGTAGTAGAAGTTGTGGTTGGTATGAATGTAGTAGTCGTTGATGGTAAAACTGTAGCAGAAGTAGTCGTGGTTGGTAGGAATGTAGTAGTCGTTGATGGTAAAACTGTAGTAGAAGTAGTTGTGGTTGGTAGGAATGTTGTAGTCGTTGACGGTAAAACTGTAGTAGAAGTAGTCGTGGTTGGTAGGAATGTAGTAGTCGTTGATGGTAAAACTGTAGTAGAAGTAGTCGTGGTTGGTAGGAATGTAGTAGTCGTTGATTGTAAAATAGTAGAGGAAGTCGTTGATGGTAAAACTGTAGTCGCTGATATCATTGCTGAAAAAAAGAAAATGCATTTACTTATAAAACGTATTTATTAGTCAACGTTCTTTCTTGCGAGAGAGTTGAATCGTTAATGAAAATTAAACTGAATACAAAAGATAAACAATATAAACGCCCAAACATTGTAAAAGGGCTGATTAAGCCTCTAAACCAGCCTATGCGTAAGCAGACTTATTGAAGGGTTGTGGGAACACACTATTTCTTGCTAGCTAGCTAATACTGCATACCAAGACTTTAAACAGTTACTCTACTGGTACGAAATACACTATATCTAGCAATTTCACTAGCAAGAACTGGAATTAAGAAACGGCAAATGCTCTCATATCGGTGCTTTATGTCTATTGATTTTATGTTAGTTCTTTTTTGTTCGAAACTGATTTCTACGTTTGGTTTTTATGTTTTGCTGCAACAGCACTGTCCTAGGCTAGAGGAGGGGTGACCGCGGTGACAAAAATGTTTAGCGCCGCCACATTCTTTATGTGTATATCCCTAGTCAGGAGCCTGTAATTCAATGAAGGAATACAGTCATCAAACCAGCAATACCCACGTAAGTAGTAAACAGATTGGCTAATCGACACGTTATCGTCTTAACTTAGTTGAATTTTGACATTGTTTTTCATAACAACATACAATGGAATTTCCAACTGATTGTGAAAAAACGAAATTCTCAGTACTTATAAAAAGGAAGCATTGCACCAACAGTGTCACCCTGGTAAGTCAGAAATTTAATCGATTTTGGAAAAAAAAAATTAAGATTTTACCTAGTGACTAGTGCAATTTAGTGCTAAATGTTTTAAGAATTTCCAGATGTTTAGTTTTGTTAACTTGACTTAAAGTCTGATCGTTGATATATATATGAAGTTGTAATTTATTGTCCAAAATCAAAGTTAGTCTTGTACTGTTCATTTCTAACATTTCATATTTTTTAATGTTATGATTTTATATAAAAAAAGAAGATGTGGTACGATTGCCAATGAGAGAACTCTTCACAAGAGACCAAATATCAAAGAAATTAACAATTATAGGTCACCGTACGGCCTTCAACAATGAGCAAAGCCCATACCGCATAGTCAGCTATAAAAGGCCCCGAAATGACAAATGTAAAACAATTCAAACGAGAAAACTAACGGGCTAATTTATGTACAAAAAAATGAACGAAAAACAAATATTTAACACAGCAACAATCGCCAACTACTGAATTACAGGCTCCTGACTTGGGACAGGCACATACATACAGAATGTGGCGGGGTTAAACATGTTAGCGGGATCCCAACCCTCCCCCTAACCTGGAATAGTGGTGTAACAGTCCAACATAAGAACGAACTATAAAAATCAGTTGAAAAAGGCTTAACTCATCAGATGGATACAAATAGAAATACATCTAAAAAAAAAACAAAAAAACACAGAGTGGACGTGGCCGGGTACTTGTACATCCCAACAACAAAAAGACACTAAGTACAGACCCGAGAGTACTCGCAGTTACTGACAGCTAGTTCAAAGTCAATACAAATAATAAAAAAAATCATGCATCTAAGATTAAAAATATCAATTATTAGACATCCAAAATCCAATGGATTTAGTGTAAAGACGTCATAAACAGTCAGAGAAAAACATGACCTTGTGCAATGCCAAGATACAGGTTTCGACAGATTGTAGATCCATGAATGTGCATATGTATATAACAATAAAATTTAGTTGCTTTTAATTTACTGATTACAAAATCAATATCAATACCAATAAAAACAATATTCAAAGATCTAATTACAGTGTTGAATTGGTAACCTTTTAGAGTAAATTTATTTAAAGGATCGATAAGTTTACCAGGATCGTTTCTAAATTTCCGGGCACGGAAAAATGAGGATGTTTCATCCCGTTTGAAATAAGTTTTCTACAGGTACAACCAAACTTTAAAACCAAATCTTTATATCTATGGAAGAATTTAGTAAAAGTTTAAAGTAATTTGTGGTAACGAAATCCCTGACTTAATAATTTACTAGTAATACATAGATTACGTTCATAAAAATCCAAAACGTCACAACAGACACGGGCATAGCGAATGAGTTGGAATATATAAACACCGTAAGATGGTGCCAAAGGAACATCACCATCTGAAAAAGGAAAATTAACAATAGGAAACGAAAAATCGTCCTTTTTGCCGTAAATTTTAGTGTTGAGTTTCCCGTGTAAAACTGAAATTTCTAAATCTAGGAAGGGACAGTTATTACCATTTACATTTGATTTATTTAAAGTAAGTTCCTTTGGGTAAATTTCGGCAGTGTATTTAGAAAATTCTTGATTATATAATACGAAAAAATATCATCAAGATAACGGTAAGTGTTGTTGAATTTATCAATTAAATGCAATTTAGACGTGTCTTTACTGAGTTTGGTCATAAACTGTGATTCGTAACAGTAAAAAAGCAAGTCTGCTATTAAAGGGGCGCAATTAGTGCCCATAGGAATACCTACAACCTGTCGATAAACTTTGTTGCCGAAAAGTACACAAATATTATCAAGGAGAAAATTAACAGCTTCAATCATCTCATCGCACATCCAGTAAGTATATCTAGATATAAGAAGATGTGGTATGAGTGCCAATGAGACAACTCTCCATTTAAGTCAATATTTATAAAAGTAAACCATTATAGGTCAAAGTACGGTCTTCAACACGGAACCTTGGCTCACACCGAACAGCAAGCTATAAAGGGCCCCAAAAATTACTAGTGTAAAACCATTCAAACGGGAAAAAACCACGGTCTAATCTATATAAAAAACGAGAAACGAGAAAGACTTATGAACCACATCAACAAACGACAACTACTGAACATCAGATTCCTGACTTAGGACAGGTGCAAACAATTGCAGGGGGTTTAAACGTTTTAAACATTCACCCTTATCTGAAACAATAGACGGGTCACATCACAACATAGAAAGACACACTATAAAATATCAATTGAAATGGCTTAACTCAACCAAAAGACATTTTAACACCAGTGAACATACACTGTTAATAAATTTGATCTATGATACAATGTAGATACAAAATAAATAAACTAAGGGAAGAAGAATAAAAGTAACATGTTATACCGCTGTGAAATGTTTAACAATTTAAGAAAAACAATATGCTTGAACATTTGCATTTGCAATTACTTTAACACAGTTAAATAAAAATAATTGTGTTGTTAGGTATACGTGTACAGTTCAAATAGAGAAAGGAAATATTTTTACAAAATAAATAATTTTGATGTTCTTAGTACGAAGAAGTGAATATTTATAGTAATACCAAACACTTATCAAAGCTGGTATATAGACCAGATATAACCCTGAATAACATTAAATAGCAAAAAAGCATTACAATTAGTATCAACAGGTCAAATAAACAAGAAAGTACGATTTGAGAGTACTCGTAGTTACTGACAGCTAGTTAAAAGCCAAAAACAATTAATAATAACAAATCATGCATCAGAGACTAAAATCAGCTAACATATTTACCTTTCTCATTAGAGAAGAAGGCTTTTAATGAGTTGCAGCAAATATATTTGCATCAGATTTACCAAACGACCATTTAATTAAACAGGAAAACTTTTGTTTAATAAGATTGTGTGGAAGTGTAGTGTAAAGAGTTGAAAAGTCAAAACTGTCAACAGAATCAAAAGGACCATCAAAAGCGCAAAATTTATCTAAAACATCCAAAGAATTTTTTACACTCCAAAAATAGTTAATTCTGCTATTTTCAGATATTCTATAAAAAAAGTTAATGACAAGTTCTTTGATAATAATTAAGGAACTAGTTAAAAGCACTGAAACATTAGTTGTAGAACACTTGCTAGAGGCCGAGATGAAACGATATTTTACTGTTTTTTGTGTAGTTTAGGTAACCAATACATAGTAGGGACCTTCAAATGTTCAGAAGAGGCCTAAAGCTGTGATGTGGTTATGATATGTTTGTTTAATATATGACTCTCTGTGGAGCGCACGGACTTGAATGTAGATAAATTTAAAATTTCATTTTTTTTTGGTTGTATTTGCGGCATACCACCACCACATTGTTGGCTGCTTTGTTGGCCGGTACAAACACAAACCGCTTTGAATGTTCTTGAAGTTTATTTCTTATTCTAGAAATAGGCGTATTATGTACTCTTTTATTTATTTCTGAATTATTTTCAAAATGTGATATTCGAATATCCACAACATTCTTACATTTATTTAAATAAGAATCAAGAGATTTTTTATAAGTTTTTTCCCGTTTACACCAATTTTTACAATACGAGGAAAGAGCGTCTTTTGTGACCTGACGACACTGTTTTCAATCTATTTTAGATGGAGGACGATATTTTGGCCCTTTCTCATCAAGTTTTTAACCTCTCTGTCTTGAACGATTTTGAGGTCTCTCATTTATCAAGAAAAAAATATGAGTGAATTTGATATATTTTTTTATTCATGTATAAGGGTAAGCTACTTAACATAAACTGATGGTAGAAAAAAAAATAGAAACGGAGAATTAACGAGAGCAACAACCCGACCAAAGAGCAGAACACAGCCTAAGGCCACCTTTGGGTCTTTGACGTTGAGAGAAAATCCCGTTACGGAGGCGGGCTTCAGCTCCTAAACAACAATGTATACTAGTTCAGCGAAATTGACGCCACAATAAACTACAAAACTTATAGATAAACTAAAATTGAAAAAACACACTAGACTTACAAATACTAGAGATTCCTGACTTAGGACAGGCGCAGTTAAACAAGTTTTGTGAGATCTCAACCCACCCCTTTATCTCTTGCCAATGTGGAATAAACAACACACACAGCAAAACACACATTTAAACTCAGTTCAAAAGAAGTCCGAGTCCGATGTTTGAAAAGGGAACAGAAGAAAAGAAGTAAATTGACAATGATAAACATAAATTAACAAAGGATTACTAACTATCTATTATAGTTTTCAAGATAATAGGCAAAAATGAAAAAAATGGTAAAATTTGTCATTTAAGGGCAAT